TATGGAGTATAACATCACTTTTTAAATATTTTTTATTTGTTCTAATTAGTTTTACATGACACATCATACATTAATGAAGTATAACTTCTCATTCGTCTAGTTGTATATGATACAGAGTTACACCTGTCATGTAATTATATATGCACATAGGGTAAAAATGTCCAATTTGTTTTACTATCATTCCCACCCTTGTGCCCCCCCTTCCCTTCACTTCTCTCTGTCTTGTCCCAAATACCTCTGTTCTCCTCCCACCCCTTATTGTGAATTAGCATCCACATATCAGAGGAAACAATTGACCTTTGGTTCTTTGAGACTGTCTTATTTCGTTTAGCATAATATTCTTCAGTTCCATCCATTTACTGGTAAATACCATGATTTCACTCTTCTTTAAGACTGAGTAATATTCCATTGTGTTTATATACTATAGTTTTGTTTTTTTTTTTATCCATTCATCTGTTAAAGAACTAGATTGGTTCCATAATAACTTCCCATTTTTGTGGTTGCACATGATTGGGAGTTACACTGGTTGTGTATTCATATATGAATATAGGAAAGTTATGTCCCATTCATTCTACTGTCTTTCCTCCCATCTCCACTCCCTTCCTTTTTTTTATTCCCTTTTGTCTAATCCAGTGAACTTCTATCTCCACCCTGGCCCTGCTTATTGTGAGTTAGCATTGGCTTATCAGAGAGAACATTTGGCCTTTGGTTGTTTGAGATTGACTTACTTCACTTAGCATGATAGTCTCCAGTGCACACCTTTTTATAATCTATCCACCTCTTCACTTCCACCTCATCCTGGAAGATTAGTAGGTGAACATTCATCTGCTTCTTGTCACAGATTAGTTTGTATTTTCTGGAGTTTTAAATAAATAAAACCAAGCCATATGTATACTGGCTTTTGTTTGCTTGATTTTTGTTTTGGTCTAGCGTTATTCTCTCAGCATCATAATTTTGAGATTCAACAATGTTGTGCATGTCAATATTTTGTTCCTTTTTGGTAGTGTATCATTATATGGGACTACCATAATTTGTTTACTCAATCACCTATTAATGAACATTTGTACTGTTTACAGTTTGTGGCTATTGCAATAAAACTGCTGGGAACTATCATTTTCAAATCTTTGTATGAAAATATGCTTTTATTTTTCTTTGATTTATACTTAGGAGTAGACAGCTTGACCTCATTTTACATGCATATTTAATTTAAATAAATAGTCAAACTGTTATCTTGACTGTCTTTACAGACCCAGTATAACGGAATTGGATTTGTTCTGTATTCTTGCCAACACTTATTTTAGTCAATCTTTATGATTTTAGCCATTCTAATGTGTGTATAGTATATCTCATATCTCATTGTGTTTTCTTTTTTGATTAAAAAGCATTTATTGAGAACCCAGAAAATGCAAAATACCATTTCTTTAAATACAGTTGGTTCTTAATTTTGTAAAAAATTCATATTCTAATAATATATATAATCTAGAATTTACTATTTAAATTACTATAATTGTACAATTCAGTGGCTTTAATTATATTTAGAATGCTATGCAACAATATCACTGTGTATTTCCAAAACTGTTCATCACTTCAAGCAGAAAATTTGTACCCATTAAGCAATAAGCCACCATTTCTACTCTACCCTGTAACCTCTATTTTATGCTTATGAATTTGTCTATTCTAGGTATTTTATGTAGATGGAATCATACAATGTCTGCTCTTCTATGTTTGGTTTATTTCATGGAGCATAATATTTTTCATTTAGAATAAGTTTCACCTATGTCATAGCATGTATCAGAACTGCTGATTACTGAATAAGATTCCATGTTGTGTTATATACACATATATATGTTTATATTTTATAACTATTATATATATATATATATATATATATATATATATATATCACATTTATACATTTGTTTATTCATATGTTGATGAAAACTTGGATACTTCCAATTTCGGGATACTGTTGACAATTTTGGTTTTAATTTGTATTTTCTTAACGACTAAAGGTGCTTCTGTACATGAGTTTGTGTGCCATCCAGTCTATGCAGCTGTCTTTCCTGAGGCACTTATCTACCTGGATTCTCCAAGGCAGCAATTCTTAAAACCTGACTTCACATTGGAATCATGAGAGAATATTTAAAAGTTACTAACGTTTACATTTCGCCTCTAGAGATTTTGATATAATTCATCTGTGATGTAGATGAGGCAGTGGGATTTTTCTAAGCTTCCCAGGAAATGGCAATGTGTGACCAAAATTAAAAACTCCTCTCTAAAAGCTTCTCAAAGTTTAACTTGCATATGAATCACCTGGAAATCTGCATTTGGTAAAATGCAGACTATGAGCCAGTAGGTCCACCATAGGGCCTAGGATTCTGCATTTCTAATAGGCTCTTAGATGTTGCCAATTTAGCTAGTCTATGGAGCTTGCATTAAGAGGTTGGCAAATAAAAGTGTCCTACTGGTCTTGAGAAGGGTATTTTCTCAGCTTGCTTTGGTATTGGGAATCCTTGGTTTCCTATGTCTGATTTCTAAACCACCTTCACTGCTGGTATGCATACTACATAATGCCCCTGTTTCCCTGCTGGAAATCCTACATACTCAACATTTTGAGCTCCTTAGTGGGAGTACCCCTGACAGCCATCAGTTTGTCTATTACTGACTGAAATGTGGTGTCTGCATGCTTATATGAATATATTGTTGTGATAGGTTCAGTTCCCAAATGCCCTACAGCAATGGTTCTCAAATCCTTGTATGCATCAAATGACTTGGGGGGCTTATTAAAATACACCACTATATTCCACGTCAACATTTCTGATTCAATGAGGACAGAGAAGTTGAATTTCCATTAAATTCTCAGGAGATGTTCATGATGATGGTCTAAGAATCTAGAGGTTCTTTAGAGAAGAAAGAAAGAGACAATGTGCAATAGGCCTCTTGGTTTTGCCACATGACCTTTTACTTTTTAACTTATATTTTGGGATTCTGGAAAAGATTAAGGGTTATTTTAAAGACAAATTTGAATACTGCTGTTTTGTTGCCTTTAGCTTTTATTTAATAGAAATCAATGGAAAATGAAAATAAAATGCTAATACTAGTTATGGGAGAAGGTATCAATTTAATACAAATGAAACAAAGACAAATTATTCAGTTCTTGTGTATGGAAAAAAAGCCTTAAGCTATGTGTTCAAATATGATAGAAAGAATTAAAGAAAATTCAACATATGCTGGAAATAAATTGCTGACAACTGTTTAAAAGAGGAAGTACAATTAGGGATTTTATACTGTAGCAGTGCAGAAGTCTCTTTCCAGGAATTTGGCATGTACAAAATGGTAAGGTTTTCATTTTCAGAGTTTATTCAGACTAAGAGCCTAAAGAAAATACTGTGAATGGTGCAGCAATTTCATCTCAACTTACTGGACTGGATACCGGTAATTCTACCAGAAGGTGAGAGACATCATTCCATCTACAGAATCAATGGAGCCCTTCATTTCGAATAGTAGGTGCAAAGAATGTACGTTGAAAAATCGCCTATTTACTTTTAGGTAAAGTGAATTCTTATACATAAGGTGGGTAGTTCCCTGCTTTCCTATCTCCGCTTCAAGAGACATCTTGGAATAATAGAAACACCCCTACCTGAATAGCCTAAAGTAGAATTTCACTTTTCCATTAGAATGTGAGTACCTTTAAAAGTGATTATATTTTCTAAGGATAGGCAATTAATTTCAATGATGTTCTTTCTTCTACATCCAACGCCCACCTAATATTCAAAGTTCACAGAAGTCTAAGTGCATGGTTAAAAAGAAAAAAAAAATAAAGTATGTTTTTGCAAGGACTTTGGGAAATGGACTTTAGGGCAGGAGGAAGGGCGGTTCAGGTCTCTAAACTGCAAACAAAACAAAACCCCCAAACAAAACAAAACAATAACAACCAAAGCCCCCAGTAATCTGGGAAGAACTTAAAAAGCAAACTCTTACAGATTTTAATAGGAACGAGAAGAACACATGGTGCTGGTATTCCATTTTATCGTCAGTGTAAGGTTTGAACCAGTATGATTGTTACTTTTTACAACCAAAACATTTAAGAAGCAATGCAATTCATCATGAGCTTCTCCCGCCCGACCAGGAGCAGAGAAAGGTTGGTGGGCTGCCTGAGCGACCTACATTTGCTCAGTCGTCTGGACTACAAGAGATCAGCCAACGTGCGCCGCCCTCTTGGTAAAACTCTCTTCCCTTCTCTAAGTCCCGCCTGCCTCCCAGAGGCCTTGGTGCCAGGCTCCTGGAGTCCGCGGCAGGCTGCGGGCTCTCATGCCTCGGGTTCACCCTTTCACCCCTCCTTCACCTCCGGAGTGCCACTCAGGGTGGCGCGGTTTTACCGCCCACTCGGGAGGCTGTGCGGGCAAGGCCAGGAATTGCAGGGCCTCCCCATTTCGGAAATCCCTGGAATTGTATCCGCTCCACCTTAGCCACTCTGCTGAGGCATGGGGGGGCTCGAAAGAAACAGGGGTTGGTAGCAAGACACTCGACTTAGAAACGCAACCAGCCTCCACGGAGATCTGAACTTGTCCCGGTCCCCTCCCTGTCCCTCTGCTTCTGGTCCAGGAGACACCCAGCCAGCCAGACCAGCACCGGGCGCGGAGAGCTAGAGCGCTCGGCAGCGGATGCGGCGCGCGGCCTGGTAGCCCAGGGCATCCCCGCAGCTGGGGGCGGAAGATCTGGGCGGTTGCAGGAAGGGTCTGCGCAGCCCCAGCTCCACTCCACCACCGCAGCCCTGATCTGAGGCCGGCGCGGTGAGTGGCAGAGAGGAGGGCGCGGCAAGGGAGGAGAGTAGCGAGTGTGAAGACGCTGATTGGTGCGGGCTCAGGGGCGGGGAGCGCGGTGGGCACGGGGGCGGGGCCTAAGCCAAGAGCTGGAGCTGCTGGAGCTGCGAGTGCACGGAGAGGAATAGCTAGCAGCTGGAGCGGAGTTGGAGGAAGCTACGGCCCCGGCGAGGGCGGTGGACTAGGGGGTCGGAGACTTAGAGCTAGGATCCGGAACAGTCGGTCCAGGCTGGATTGGAGGCACGTCGAAGCCGTGAGCTCCGGAGGCCGCTACAGCACCGGCCCAGCAGAGGAAGGAAGCCGGCCGGCGGAGAGGTAGGCGGCTGAGGCGGCGGGTCCGGGTGTGTGTGCTCGGGAGGGGGAGGTGGTGCGTTCGTGCGCGGCTGCCTCCGCTCTCTTCCTGTCACCAGCAGCCGCTTCTCCTTCTGCAGAGCCCAGTCAGGGGAAGCGGGCCGGCTGCCGGCGCCCCCGCGGTCCGCATCCTCCAGCCGCCAGGCAGCTTTTCCCTGCTCGTGGCCAGCGCCGTGCTTCTCCTGGCCACCTCCTGGCTCACGTTTTCCCGGCCCTCCTCCGAGCCGGTTCCGCACGCTGCCGGGCGCGTTCGCCGCGGGAGTTGCCGACGAACCCGGGCTTCTCTCCCAGCCCTTGTCTCCGCACGCTTCCGAGGGTCTCCCCTGTCGCCTTTGCTGCAGTTTCCTGGGGCCTTTCACTAGAGGAGAGCACCTTATCCGCTGCCTTTGCATTAGCGGAAAGGAGCGCTCCCTTCCCCGCCGGCTCTTCAGCTGCAGGCAGGGTCGCCGTCTGCGCTTTTCCTTAGGCGGGCGACGGTGGTCTTCAGAGCTCGCCCCCCAGCTCCCGCCCTCCGAAGTTTGCCGCCCTCCTCTTCCGGGGTGGGGGAAGTGCGCCTCGGGGCGGTTGTTCTCTGGGGCCCGAACTCAGCTTCTAGTGCTGGCCAGGCTTGGGCAGGTTGTTGGAGGCTTATTTAATGGGGTCCCGGCACAGTCCGGAAATCCAGCTTATTGTAACGCAGGGCGAGACTGGAGGGACCTGCCCAGCAATATGGAGCCGGCCAGGAGAACAAGCGAGCGTGCGAGCTGGAGCTAAAACATCGAGGGGGAATTGTCTGGAAGCCACAGCTCGAACACTCACTTCCCAAGGGCAGAAACTGCCTGGCAGATCACGAGACAAAGAGAACAGACAAGCTCTGGCCAGGCATCCCTGTACAGAAATGTATTTTGATAACCAGAATTTGAGCATAAAAATGCAAGAGTGTGAGCAGAATGGCTGTTACATGTTGAATGCAGAATGTGTAGGAATTGGATTTGGGGGAATTATGCTTCTGGGCGCTGTTAAATACCGGAAAGGTCTCAGCCCCACCGTTAATTCCTGGCGGAGCTGCAGCGCTGTTGGTGCCCAAGTGTGAGTTTACTCTTTTATTTGGGGTGGTGGGGGGTGGAGGGGTTCATGACTTTAGGGTTTTTTTTTGTGTGTGTGTGTGTTTTTTTTTTTCCATTTTCCCTCCCCGTGTTCTTTTCCTCTTTGTCAGTGCAAAGTAAGAATGGATAAAGCAGTTCCGGGTTTTGAATGTAGCATGTGATTGTCATTTCAGTGTGATGAGTTTCAAGTTTAGTTGTTAGGCGGGATATTCACAAAGCTTATTGACCTAGGCTTTCTGTGGAATCATGTTTTAATATTTTATTAGCTTGTGTTACTTTTTGGCCACCTTAAAGATTGTTAGTATTGGAGTAGGTAACCGACAGGGTCATTTCGGACTCAAGTTATCAGAGAAATGGATCTTCAATGTATAAATCATTAGGAATTTGGTGATTCCTGCACAGGAGAGGGCCACAAGCCCTTTTATCATCAAAAAAGAAAAAAGCATCATACAAGCTGTAACTTTTTGACAGATGACACTAATCTTGAAATAAGTCACTCATAAACAAAAATAGTGTTCCTATGTACAAAAGTTGCTAAAACTTTGCAAAACAAGTGTTTTGCTCAGCACAAAGAAAATATGAAATTGTGTGTGTGTGTGTGTGTGTGTGTGTGTGTCCAGGTCCCCGCACGTGTGCCTCTAAAGTTTGTTGGTTTGGAGTCAAATTGGAAAGGACAGGGGAAGCGCCAGGCTTTGCTGTGGATAATGTCACTGTTGGACTCTTTAGCTTTTATATGCCAGTTGCTGGTAGTTATTAGAGGGGTCATGCTACTACTGTTTCCAAAGAAATGTGTAGATCTTATGAGTAGAAGAAAGTTCTATGTGTCTGATATCATCTTTCAAACTGTTATGTCCTTTTACTTTTGATGTTCATTTTGATTTTGAACCTGTTCTTAGTTGCATAACAGAACTCTGCAATGTACACCCTCTTAATCTGCTGTTTTATTTGTACTGTGTCTTTTCACATCTGTGATGCTATATGGTCAATGTAAAAAGCATTTCACTTTCCATTGATTAAATATATTATTTTCTTCAGCAATTTCTTGACTTTAATACATTTACAGTAAAGTTGGTTTTGGGAAACTAAAATGCTACAATAAGTTATAGGGATATATATTTCATTTATTGGCAGTGATAATGATTGTATGCATTTATCTTCTGGAAATATTGATTTCACCTAAACTGATTTCTGGAGGGCTTTGAATCCTAAGTGCAAACCTATTCAACTTACCCAAATTGTTAAAAGTGTTGGCCATTCCTTTAATGAAAATTTTCCATGAATACCCTGTAATTTTTAGATTGATATGTTGGTTTTAAATCCCCCCCTCCTTTTTTTTAACCTAGGTAGTTTAGGGAATATTGTAAAAAAAGCATCCACTTTGAAAGATTGTCCACATGGCCATCTAAAATGGGAACAATTCGAGTTCAGCTTTTATCATATTTGCATTTTGTAATTTGCAAAATGTCCTTTATTGAATAAAGAGCTGGTGAGTAAGTAGAACATAACAAGCTGAGTTGATGTTTGCATGAGTTCTTACTTTTAATTCTCTAATATTTGGTCCAATGCAGAAGAAATGAGAAGTGCTTAAGTATCAGCATCTTATATGTTTTAGACAGGCTGATCACAGAGCTCTCTTATGCAGAGTACAGGGTTTTGCTGGTAGAAACAAGAACATGAAGCATCCAAGTGAAGGCCTGGAAGACTAGCATGTTACTTATCAGTGGAAGGGATTATCAATTTGGCTTACATTTTATAAAGCATAATATAAATTATATCACAACAATTCAATAAAAACCCAGGTTGTTAATTTTTACAGTATTCATATTATTCATTGCATTATGTCTCCAGTCTCATCCAACTGTATCCTAGTCATCTTAATGCTTGCCACAGTTCTGCCAATACTGTTATTGAAATTACTTGCCTAAATGAGTGGCAATTAAAGACCACTTCATGTATGCTAAACCAAGTGAATTGAAAAATAGACTCTGTAATTACTTATAAACTCATCTGTTTGGCCAATGTTAGGTTTTTGTGTTTGTTTTGTGAAAGGGTAGAGTAGAATGAATGTAGCACAGTTTTTAGTTAAAAAAAAAAATTAAAAGTCTACTATAAGAACATCTTCAGAGATTTTCTTCTGCCAGAATTGTTTTCCTTAAAGTAGATCAAGTAAGTACCCATAGGTACCTGTAGTCAAAATCATTTTCAGGTTAATGATCACCCTAGAGAGTTTGGAAGTCACAGGAGTCTGGCCAAGTGTGGAGAGGCTCCACCAGTGGGCGTAGTGAGTTGATAAAGCCCAGGTGCCTGGCTGTTGGCTGTGGCTTGCTCCTTGCCTTCGTTCTAGGATGCCTCAGTGGTCTCCATCTGGGGCTTAGTCCTAGAAACTGGGGCTCTACCAGAGGACACAGCTGCTTTCAGTCCCTAGGGGGTTGCATTACTGAGTTTGTGTTTTTCTCTTTGAGAACAGCCCAGGAAGCAACCACTAAACCCTGCTGGAGAGGAGTATATCTCTAACTTTCACCCCTCCTTATCCCCTCACATTTGTATACCTACACACTACATACACACACTCCCAGCCCTTCCCAGGTCTCCTTGACCCTGACCTCTATACAGCCACCCTCTACCTCAGGTAGGGAGAGAACTACTTGGGCAAAGTCCATTTGCAGCCTTTATCTATCTATATATCTGTTTACAGCAGAAAGTTTTATTTTAGCTAGCTTCAGGATTCATTTAGAACTGTTTGCAGCATTTAAAGGCACTACAGGAGAAAATTCCTGGCTAATGTCTGTTCCTGTTTTAAATCTGAGTTGTAAAAATGGCAGTAAGTAACATTCAGTGTTAATAGTACATGCTACCAGTAGAAATAGTAATACCATAGCTACAGTTTATAACTTCAAGCACATTATCTAACTCTTCTAGCTTATTTTCTCATCTGCAAAATTGGGATGATAAGTGTATCGAGGGTGATGACAAGGGTTAAATGAGTCACTACATGTAAAACTCTTAAAGAACTGGGCCTGGCACATAGTAAGCACTGATCATTCATTATATTCATTATATTAAGCGCTTATTGTCAGGCATGCAGTTTTCCATGCTTTGCATGTGTAATTTCCTTTAGTACTCATGATGACACTATAAGGCATAGATTTGCTTATTTTTTTCTTTCTTACAGGTGATAAACTGTTTCAAAGAGAGATTTCAGTGACTTTCCCCCGGTTATATGTCTAAGCACTGATGGGGGCAGCTGCCCTTATTTGCAAGTTCTTGCTAAGTATTTTTTTTTTTTTTTTTTTTTTTAACAAAAAGAGGGACTTAGGTCATCTCTGTTAGTCCTCTCTTTCCATGACCACTTCTTCGGTCATTCTCTACTGTGGTGATGCAAAGAACCAGACAGATCACCCTCCTAGCCTTTTCTGCGTGAGAGGATCTGTTCCTCATGTCCTGTAAGTTGCATTACCCTTTCTCTCTGGAGTACATGTGTTCCTCTTTCCGTTGCTCTTCTTGCAGTGCTCAGGGAACCCATTAGTGAGACTTCTTTCTGAAGAGCCTCATTTTCTTATTGTATCACCTGGTCAGGCTGTCTCCCCTAAAGGGCTTGTGGGCAGCCTTTGCAACCCACATGGCCTCCTTAACCCCATCAACCCATAGTGTGGCAGCAGGAAGTATGTTCTAATTGGCCAGTTATTTTGAAAATAAATTGAGATATTTAAAGTCTATTAAGTTGAAATATCAAAAGTCTTTGGGCTAAGACTGAGTTCATCATTTTTATTTTATTTTAATTGAGATAAAATTCACCCTAAGACCATCATTTTAAATCAAAGGTGCCATACCCACTATATTTGCTAGGATATTTGTTTTTTATCATGATTTCCAAAAATTCGAAAGGTAGAAAAGATTTTAAATAATGATTTTAAAAGACTGTTTAGTTGAGTTAGGAGGTTCTCTCAGAGTTGAAGCTAGCACTGAGTGGTGGGAGTACGGAATATAGGGTGGTGGTGTTGCCAGCACAGGACCCTCTGTACCCTCCTTGCCTCTATGAAAAAAAAATCCATTTTGTGCCACCACCCAGTGCCACACTGCTAATTTCATTACAGAATGGCATCACATGACTACAATACATTCTCAAATTATTTAATGTAATGTTAGAATATCCTTTAAAAACATTAGTTTTTATTGATGCATTATAATCACACATAATGGTGGGTTGTATTGTTACATATTTATACATGACATAATTTGGTCAGTTTCATTCCCCAGTACCTCTCTTTTCCTTCCCCTAAAAATATCCTTTATTCTTGACTCCCTGACAAACTTTCCAAATCCTGTCTTTCATAAAATGGGCAAGAAGCAAGTCAACAAAGTTAGAATTTTCTTTGCTTTTTTGCCATAATGCCTGCAGGTTATAGGATTAAACTGAAAATCTATTTTGTAAACAGTTGTATGTTAAGCAGTCATAGATTGCTATTTGTCAAGCTTCAGAAACAATTTTATCTTGAGAAACAGAATAATTGCTCAGTATTATTTGCAGATAAAGAATATGTACTTCCAATTAATGGCGTTGCAAGCAGTTGTTAAAAGGGTTGAAAGACTGAGCGAAATAATTACCTTGAAGGAAAATTTGAATTGTTACATAATATTATACAAGAGTAACTTAATTTGTTATTTGTTCAGAGGATTCCACTATACCTTTGTTACAGCAACTTATGCATGCATTAGCTTGGAATTTCTATCATAAAACTGTCTTCATTATTTGAAAATGATAAATTGTAGATGATGAATATCCACATAAAAACCTTTACTACATAAATAATTAGGTTGGATTCAGATGCAAATAGTTTGGTGAACAGGTGTCTGTAGTCAAAGAGAATGGAGGCAAAGTCTGGTTAATATGGAAAAAAAATATATTCTGTCAGTCTGGATAGTTAGGACCTCAAATTGGTCTCAGGAGGGTTACACAGGTACTGCCAAATGCCTCAGGCCACTGTGTCTTCTGGATGTGACAATCCTTGTGACTCTGGATTAATGCTTCACATACCCCATAGGGAGGAGTGAGTTGTTAGAAATTGTGCAATAGGGGCCCAGGAGTGTGGCAGGGGACAGAGGTGCCAAGAAGGCTATTGGTGGCAAAAGCTAAGTTCACAGAGATGAATGGGCAATCTTCCAGAAGTGGTATGCCCAGGATTCTTTTATTCACTAGTTTATGGACTTTGCAAGCAAGGATGCATTTTAATGAAGTCTCTTTGAAGAAAATTTGCATGGCTGGGATGCTGCATCTTGGACTTGGAGGAACCGCTGCTGAGTTATAATGGTTTCTTTTTGTGCAGGTGCATGAGAGCCAAACACTATCAACAAGGCTGCTGTCTCGAAAGTAAGGGAGATGTTCAAGGTTAGTTTCAGAAGCCAGCTTGGGCAGGCAAAGAATCACTGGTACTGCTGACATATCTAGGCTGCCCTTGATTATCCGAGTTCAGGCAATAGGTTATGGTGGTGTTAAAAGTGGGGGCTCTTGAGCCAGACTACCTGAATCTAGTTTCTGTTTCTCAGTTGCTGAGTGTAAATCATGGTCAAATACTAAACATAGTGCACTTCATCATATATTACGTGAGACAATTAATAGTGCCTACCTACCTTCTATGGTTATCATGAGGAACTAATGGGTTAATACACATATAGCTTCCAATAAGAATTAGATGACTATAGTGGTGATGACAATGACAATCACTAAAACGGGCATGGCAGTCAGGAGAAAGTGTGCAGTGTGTGGTCAGGTAGAGATGTCTGCTGCCTCCGCCCAGTTCAGGACTCTCTGAATCTTAACATCAAGTAATCAAGTGACTACACCTCAAAAAATGGCTTGTCTGTTTTCCTTCAACTTTTTTTAAAAAAATATTTTTAGTTGTAGGTGGACACAATACCTTAATTTTGTTATTTAGTTTCTTTATGTGGTGCTAGGGATCAAACCCAGTGCCTCACGCGTGCTAGACTTTGTTCTCAAACCACTTAGTTGTCAGAAAATGAGGTTCTTCTGACAAGTGGCAAGGGAAAGAGCACGTAGAGACCTCTAGGTCTCTGGCACTCAGTGCCAGGAAGGCTTCCCTGGAGTTTAGCCTCTTTACAGTCATTAGGTTCCTCAGGGTTCTTTTGCCCTTTGCACAGATTTATCCTCAGGCATATCCAAGCACAGTTTTCAGGTTTGTAAAACCTTGAAAAGACATGAAGTTTTTTCTTACTGAAATGTGTTCCCCAGCAAGAAACATGCATAGCTACAGAAGTGTGCTGTGACAAGGACTTGATAGTTGTGAGGTTGGAGGGGATTGTTATGTTTTCCATTCTGTAAGAATCCCCCAAACTGGCCCAGTGGGTGACTGATACTGAGGAAGTGCTAGGCAGCAACTGGCATAAAGATCTACCCAGCTTACTGGTTGGATTTTTTTTTTTTTTTTCCCTCCAAAACGACATACATTGCCAGGAAAAGCTAACAAAAATTTCAAGGCAGATTTGGAGGAATTAAAATTATTCTTAGGCCTATTGCCTGGTTTCTAAGCATTTAGGGATATGTAAATTTTCATGTTCTTTAGAGTGCTGCATCTCTTTTGTTCAGAGTACATTAGTACTAAAAATGAGATTTGCTAGTTCTACATTTTTGTGTGAATTTATGCAATAAGTATTTAATTTGATTCTGGATCTTTTGAAAGGAGAGGCTTTCTTCAAATGGATAATATAGCTTGTTTTTCTCATATGCTTCACTGGTTGCATTAATTTTTTTTTCTCTGATGACTAAAATGCAAAGTGGAGTACTATCCCAAATTAATATTCTTGCTCCACAAAGACTTCCAATGTTTGTTTTTGCTTCCTTTAATATGTGACTCTCCTAAGAGTGTTATTGTATTACAGCTAAGAGGCTTTAACCATGTAAAGTTGACTACTTTACACTTCTGAATGCAATATAACAATTAATCTATGATTAGATTTTGCTTCTTAAAATGCCATTCTGAGGAGTGCCTATAATATTAAACTTCTAAAGTGTTTCACTTTTCAAGAAGTATAAAAGCTCTCTTTGCTTTCACAACCTGAAATTGTGTGGGTATTGTTTTATTGCTTTATTGTGCAATCAGCTTCACAGAGGCCTCTAGGTTGCTTTTACTCTTTATAATAAAGATAACTGAGGAGTGGAGGATGATGTGTGTGTGCAAGCTTTCCTATCAGCCATCTACTGGGACTTTCTAATTCTCTAACTTATAGTTTTTGACTCTCCAATTCTTCTGCCTCCCCTATGCTTTAAAGCAAAAAGCAGAAGAAAAATACTTCCATTACCCATTTCCCTGTCTGTGAAGCCATCTTTATAGAGTCCTCTGCAGCAACCATTACTACTTCTTCTGATTTCTTAACTCCTTAAAATCTAATAACTATCTTTACTACTGGCCTGAGTTCTGCTTTCTAAAAAGTGTATGATGATTCCATGATAAGCCGAGCCCCCAATTATCATTGTCCCCTGTGTGAGTGCTTCTGCAGGACTTTGTTGCAGGGGGATCACCTGTTCCTCCCTGATTCTTATCCCTTGTTTCTGGGACATTGCTTTGTCTCTAAATCTTGATTTTCCTCCTCAATGGGAGTTATTGAACCTCAATGTGTAGTCCTTAGATCATTTTTAAACTTTTAATTTTTTAAATGATTGATTGCTTGATTTTTGATGAGTGCCATTTCATTTATTGGTCTTACCTTGTTTGCAGCTGATTACCAAATCTCTAGTGTGTCCCTTCTCCTGAGTCACAGCCCAGGCTTTCAGCAAGCCACTGGCACACCTGCAGGTGGATGTCCATAATCCCATAAGCCCATTGAGTCTCCTGGCTTCCTTTTGCTTGCTATTAATACAAAATTCACAGTAGTGGAGAACCAGGCACCTGTTTCTCCTCTTTTTCTTGCTCCCCATTTAAGCATTTATCTCCCCCTACACATTTTTACCTCACCATCCCATCATGTTTCTTATTTCATACCTCTCTTTTCACACCTTCTGCTGTCTCCTTGGTTGGTGCCCTGGTGGCCGCTTTCCCAGACTTCTGCAATACACCTTTCTCAGTTTGCCTCACCTCTGTTCTCTCTCTATGGCATTCCCTCCTTTGCTCTGCGGTTAGTTTGAGATTCCTCAAGTGCAGCCGTGATCCTATTGATCCCTTTCCCCAGGCCCTCTCAGTGCTTCCCATTCCACAGTTACTAAATTGCAAACTCAGCACAGGCACGCATGATGTCAGACAGTCCTATCTGTCTTTGTAACGCAGCTCCACTGTTCCCTCCCTGACTTTGGATGGATCAGACTGTTCTAACTCTTCCTGTAATATAACATTTGCCTAATCACTTCTGTACCTAGGATCATGCCACACATTTCATTCTGTCTTTAGAATCCTGCAATTAGATGTGGTCCCTCCCTCACCTGAACCCTGCAGTGTTTAGTCGGCCTCTCTTTTGGCATTTACCTAATGTTTTGGTTCCCTGTGTACCAGTCTTATCTCTGAGACATCCACACCCGCCAACACTCCTCCTCCTGTTCCTGCCCAGTGTTCTTAGAAGGCAAGGCTCTTACTAATCTTCGTTGTGTGTACAGTGTCAGGCAGCAGCACACTGGCCTGTGTATGTCTGCCAGCTCTATTAAGTACTTGTTGAATGGAAGTAGGAATTCAAATGCACACAGATGGCGAAGTGTGATGTTCATTCATAAGTCTTGTTTTTCCTTCACTAGGTGAAGCTGAGTGTGGAGTGAAATCAGACGACAGATGGACAGTGTGACAGGAGCTGCACAGAGGATTGGGCCTCGCTGTGAGAGTCAGCCTAGAGTCAACGTGTTGACAAGTTGCTGAAAAGGAAGCCAGGAAGGACTGTGGCACACAGGAAGTGGAGCCCTGTCTGCAGTCACACCATTGATGGAGGACAGATGGACAGCCGAATGGCCAGTCAGCTCTCCTTGTAAGCCTTTGGAGAGTGGTCCTTTGTCCTCTGTTGGACACCTATTAGGATTTTTAATACACTCTCTGATTTCATTTTCCATTAAAACATAAAATTAGACTACAGTGCACAGCCAGACTCATCTGTTGCATGGTAACAGATCTGCAAACATGAGTGCTGAGGGGTACCAGTACAGAGCGCTGTATGACTACAAGAAAGAGAGGGAAGAAGACATTGACTTGCACTTGGGTGACATATTGACTGTGAATAAAGGATCCTTACTAGCACATGGATTCAGTGATGGACAGGAAGCCCGGCCTGAAGACATTGGCTGGTTAAATGGCTATAATGAAACCACCGGGGAGAGGGGAGACTTCCCTGGAACTTATGTCGAATATATTGGAAGGAAAAAAATCTCACCTCCTACTCCGAAGCCCCGGCCACCTCGACCCCTTCCTGTTGCACCAGGTTCTTCAAAAACTGAAGCGGACAATGAGCAACAAGGTGAGCATCAATGAGTAATTGCTTAATGTCCTCTACTTTCTTCTACTTCTTTTTTTTTTTTTCTGCAAAGTCTTAGGTTTGGGCTGGGCTGCTATGCTCTGGGTAGAAGTAGTCATGGTAACTTTAACTGAATTGGTATGTGGTATGTACAAGAAGCTTTTTGAGTCATGACGTGGCTAGAAATTTTTGTCTGTGGAGTTAGGAGTTGTTATAAAAATAGGGAGATGGTATCTGAGACCTGTTCAGTGAGTATCTATCTGTAAGCACTATTTAAAGTTACCATTAAATTAAGTACCTACTGTATTCTTACTCTTGTAATTGGTATTATGTATTTAAATAACCACTTTGGGAAAGTAAGTCTAATATAAGTATATTTAACATTAATATGATTTGTATGGAAGAAAATAAGCTATAAAATGACCAAAAAGCTCAGCAGAGAAAAGATAATTGTTTTTCTAATCCTGTATCTGCCTCTCAGTTTCCTGTCTTGGAACACTTTGTCTTAAGCCAAACCCCAATCCTTGGAGTTAGCATAAAAGTAATTTGTTTTTCCTCCTTTGTGCCCAACATCACTTGTAGCATTAATACCTAGAGTCCGCTTGGCCCTGGTGAGGGGAAGACAATATTCACTGGAAACCTCCTTGATTCAAAACCCACTTACAATTTATTGGAGGTGTTCACACTTGAGTTTGGTGTACAGCTGTTAAGTTTTAGGATCTTCTGTTCAGTTTCTCATTGAGATAAGCCTTATGCTCAGCTTTGCTGTTATCAGCTTTGTCAAATACTGGTTTCTCACTAGTAAACCTCAAGCTTTTTTTTTTTTTTTCTTTCTTTTTTTTAATCTCTGGGACTAAGAAAGTTTATGGGAAGATACATATAAAACAGGTGAAGCTGACTTGCTTGGTTATATATTGAGTAGCATCCCAGGAGATTTCTGGAAGCAGTTCTGATACTACTAAATGTATTACACTTTCTTTAATGTTGGCTTATTCTTATACAAACAAATGAGATAATGAGAATAAAGATACAGAATACAGAATAGGGTAAGAGCTGCCTTTTAGCATTGGGTAATAGGACTGTGTGAAAGACAAAGAATTTTTTTTCTCCCCCACTAGACCTAAAAGGGATACTTGTTTTATAAATGTTATACTATACTTTATAATAGAAGATATTATTTGAGTAGTATTATAAAGTTAAAAAAGCAAAAGCTAAATTCCTTTCAGGTGAATCAGAAAACCTTGAATCTGTACCTGTATCTGTAATTTTGTCAACCATTGAATTTCTTGCAGTTTCACTTAGCAGATTGAAGACAAATACATAATTGTATTTCTCCACCAAATAACATGTTTTTAATTTGACTTTTGATTTTTGTAAGTTAGAAACACTTTCTTAAGTAGGCTCATTCCAAAGGAAAAAATGATTTAATTTGACCCAAAATACAAAGAGTTTCAGAATCTTAAAAAACATCTCAGTTGAATCAGAAAAGATGATTTAAGAATAAGGGTATCTTGTCAAGATTAGTGACAAGAAGATTTTGTAAAAATGGTTTCTAAACAAAATTGCATTTGATGACTGCCATTAGGTATGTTTATTTAGATATAATATTCAGAAAAGCAAGTCTTACAAAAAAATGATTTTCTCTTTTTAGGAGCTAAACTATTTTATAATGCTTGCTTTCTTATGGGTGACAATTGAGATTTTTAAAAGCTTTTTCATTTTTTTCTTTTTAATGCATGGGAAGAGTAAAATGAAAATTTTTAGCAGAATTTGAGAAAGAGATCCATGATAATGTGCATGAAAATATTAGAGCCTGAATATAAATGAGAAATTAGGAATAACTTAAAGGTTGGAAAGGCAGAGTAGGTGGATTATGTGGAGAATATTATACTAAACATTAGATTTTCTAGAAATGTTAGTCATATTCTCATTTAAATGTGATTCCTATGAAGTGAGAATTCAATAACTCCCATGTTAAATTGTTATGGGTAATAGTTGTAACTATTACCATGTTAAATTGTTATGGATAATAGTTGTAATGACAAACTTTATGTGTTGGAACCCGTGAGGCTCCAGTTTCTTTTGCCTAAGTGCATATTTATTTGAAAAGCTTTTGTAGTGAAAAAAATGTGTGATGGCAAGAAGGGAGAGTTCTTTTCTCCTCTTATAGTGATTGAATTCTCTAGGGTTTTGTTGTTGTTATTGTAGTTTTGTCTCTCCGTCTGACTTAGCCTATTTTTCACATTTGACTCCCTTTATTTTATTTAGATTTCCTCCTTCCCCACTTAGGTCTAAGAACCACATACAGTTCTCTTATGTCTTATGGCATAGTCTTTAACAGGTCCTGAGGTAAGACTGAGGGGTCTCAGACCAGTCTGCAGCTAATCATTTGTTTCTTATATGCTGCCAAGCCTTCCCCCTCCCCTCTCTTTTATTTTCCTCTTTTTTGGAGATAGGGTCTTGGTGTGTTGTACAGGCCAAGTGATCCTGGGCTCAAGTGAGTCTCTGGCCTCAGCCTCCTTAGTAACTGACTTAGGGCATCCACACCACCATGCCTTGCTATATTCTGTTTTTAAAAGAAGGTTGTCATTAGACTGGTCAGAAGTAGACTCAGGGTCTAGGGGTGTAGTTCAGTGGTAGAGCACTTGTCTAGCATGCACAGTTCCGCAGTTTAATCCCTAGACACACACATACACATATACAAACTCTGAGAGGTTCCTTCTATACAATGTTATTATCCACTTTTTTTCTTTGTATGCATATTTCTAGAAATAAAGCTGTAAAGTCTAACTTTTTCTTTTTTTTTTTTTGGTTGAGGGGAGAGAAGAAAGTTAAACAACAACAACAAAAAGATAACTTAACATCCTCTCAGGAAAATATACTTTTTGCTAATACATTTTGCATGCTGTTATTTAAGAAGCCCTGGCCTATAAATTAAATGAGTTTATTTACTGTATAATTTTGGGTTTGGAGCATTAAGTTCATTTAATAAACATGAACTGAGTCCCTATTTTGTGCTAGAGAGCAATGATAAAAGATGAAACCAAGACATCTCTCCTCTCTTGCCTTTCCCCCAGTTCATGGCTGGGCTTTGTCACCTCTGTCATGGTGCATAACCCGAGCATCTAGTTGGCTGACCCACTCTGACCTCTTTGTTCAGATCTTTGTTATGGAAACTGGCCCTGTTCACCCTCTACTTTTGCAAAGTATTTAATGTCTAATCTACAATATAATTTTCTGCATTTGCTGTTTGTTGTCTCTCCCTTTGTGATGAGCGTGCAAGGTGTGTGTTACTGTCCTAAGAAGATGCATGCTGTCAGAGGTGGTCCTCTGGCTCCCAGCTGTTTGGATTCTGGCATTCCATTCCCCTATATGCAATCTTATGGGAGCTGGGGTCCTGTATTCCCTCTTTTACACAATGGAAGGAATCAGTTGGAAGTAAGAATTAGGGATAAGGGAGAATAAAAATATGTATCTCTCATATGTAAACTGGAGGAGCTATTTCTCAGCACAGCCATTCTAACACATACTTTGAAATCCTTTATTTAAAATTATGCTAATGTAGAATATGTAGGCTAGTGAATTTCTGTGATCATGTTAGTTTAGGTAGAGCATTGAAATCTGCTAACTTGAGAGGTCACCGGTGAGCTGTTGTTCACATTCGCACCATCCATTACTCTCACACCCCTGCAGTTCCCACAGCTCCTATTGTAGACTCTTGACAGCGAGTCCCAGCTGGTTTCACATATAAAGCAAAAACCATGCACTAGACATGGCCTATTTTAAATTTTGATCAAATTCCCTTCTAAACAAAAAAAGAAAATAGCCTGCAGTTGGTGTTTGTTTTCATGGTTTCCCAAGGCATGTTATTCTTACATTTTCCACACTCTGCATTTGAATGTCCCTCCATGGTTATCACTCCCTGTCTAGAAAGCAAGGCTGTAATACATCACATAAATTGACTACACTGTAAAGAGGTCACAGAAAATAGCGACCTGATCCCAAATGACTGTCAATTGGCTGGGTCCTGTGGTCGTAACATATGGCTTTCTCCTTGAGACAACAAAAATAGTGCTTGTGCAAGTGGTTTGCTTACTGCATGAATTCCTGCCTATAAAAATTCCGTTTAATTTCAGAGTATGCCTTCTACTTTAGCCACTTTCCCTCCTAGTTAATTGAGACTTCCCTGTGAAGTTAGAGGACTGTCTTGTTAAACATGTGACTTCTGGTGCTGTGTGCCCATTCTGTGCTCACTGTCCACACTGTTCTTACTAGAAAGCTGGGCTAGTTACAGGATCTTTGCAAACAGGGCCCCATCTCTTAACTTCTGACCAACCAGAAAACTCCATCAGTACATTATAGCTTTTACCAAGGTGTTAAAGTTTGTTTTAGCCATCTCTGTTTTAGTAGGAAATAAGATATATTTCTGAAAGGTATTATCAAAATACTTGATTAAAAGAATGGGTCTGGAAACAGCAAATATAATCATTATTTTTAATAGAATCAGATGAGCCTAATCAATTCTCTTGTGATCACAGAATACATTGCTCATTTATTAAATTTTACTTATAACTCAGTTCCCCCTTGCATGACCGTCAGTATTTATATTCTTATTACCGAGTTCCTCATTTGTTAAGATTTTTTTTTTTCCTATTAACTTAAAAGTTCATTGTTTTCCCTGGAAATGTGTACAAGGAGGGATGGTGAACTCAATAATTTGTATATCCACAGTTATTTAAAAACAAAATTGACGAGAAGAGAAAGAATTCCCAACTTGCTTGTCTTTTAGGGAGAAGACTCTGTCCCTGAACTTGCTCAGCTGTGTTCAGAATTTACAGGCAGAGCCTTAGGGGCCTATGAGTCAGGCAGGGCTACCCTGGGTATTCCCAGGGATGAGAGGAAGGCTTGCTCCCTCCTTCTGCAGGAAGTTAGTCAAAAGGAAGGACTATTTCTCTCTTCCCTAGAGCTGTGGTGACAGTTGGGTTCAGCCTGATATTATTTGA